CAGGGCACGGGGGCACACGTGTGGCAGGTGATGGACCCCGCAGGGCAGGAGGGGTGCTCACTACTCCTACAAGTTCCCTGGGAATAATTAGCGAAGGCAGCCGGCTCAGCGAAACCCTAGACTGGCCGCTCCTGCCAACCCACAGCAGATTCGAGCTACGCCCCTGCTTTGGCTGGAGGAGAGCCCGGCCGGGTCGGCGGGGGAGGAAGGGGGCGCACCCCACACCCCGAACCAAGACCAGAACAGCCCCTTCCCTCCCACCCGCGCAGCGCCTCCATCATGGGGAAGCTGTTCAGAGAGAGGGGCTGGGGCTCGCACCGCTACCGCCACGGAGGAGGAGGAGAAGCAGAAGCGGAGAGCCCTCCCCGAGGGGCTGTGAGCTGAGAAGGGGGGGTGTGAGGGACAAGGCTGAGTCACTCCAGCCCCAGCCTCAGAGCAGCAGGACTCAGGATGGCCAGACAAGTGTTAATCCCCTCCACCGCGGTGGCTGCCTCTCCCCTACACCCCAGATCCGCTGGGATGCTGCACCCCATGGGGAGCAGGTGCCCAGGCAGGGGTGGCAGGGGGATGCTGCCCGCTTGCCCACCTCCGAGAGCCATCACTGACCCCAAACCGCTACCCCCTGCTCTCCCTGGGGAAGGACGGCAGCCGGTGCTGCTGGGAATCCACCGGTTTCCAGAACTTCTGCCGGGGAGAGGGCGAGGAGCATCCCGCTGGTGGGGGACACAGCAAGGAAGGGGCTGCAGATGTGATTGCCAACAGGCTGCCGGCAGCACGGATCCTGCCCCAGGAGCAAAACAGCCCAGGCCAGCTCACTGGGGAATTTCTGAGAGAATCTTTGCATGGGAAGCACTGAGATAGAAAAAGAAAGCAAGCATGTACAGGAAGGGGCAGTGGACATGGGGGAAGCACATGGGAGCCTCTAAATCCCAACACCGCTCCGGGCATCGGTGGTTTAGGTGCTGGCATCCTGGATCGATCGCTGCAGCCCCCAAACGCGCACAGC